ATGGCAGCCATTCTATAACTCAGGAACTGCTGGGCCGATCGTGACGAAAACACCACCAGTCGATTCAGCGTATGCGATTTCATTAGCCGTTTCGAATATGGTGACCTCAGGTGACCTCGGTGACCTTGGGAGGTCACATGACCGATGTGGCCTATGGCAGCCATTCTATAACTCAGGAACTACTGGGCCGATCGCGACGAAAACACAACCAGTCGATTCAGCGTATGCGATTTCATCAGCCGTTTCGAATATGGTGACCTCAGGTGACCTCGGTGACCTCAAAAGGTCAACTTAACGTTTTCGCCTATTGCAGCCCTTCTATAACTCAGGAACTACTGGGCCGATCGCGACGAAAACAGCACCAGTCGATTCAGCGTATGCGATTTCATCAGCCGTTTTGAATATGGTGACCTCAGGTGACCTCGGTGACCTTGGGAGGTCACATGACCGATGTGGCCTATGGCAGCCATTCTATAACTCAGGAACTACTGGGCCGATCGCGACGAAAAGACCACCAGTCGATTCAGCGTATGCGATTTCATCAGCCCTTTCGAATATGGTGACCTCAGGTGACCTCGATGACCTTGGGAGGTCACATGACCGATGTGGCCTATGGCAGCCATTCTATAACTCAGGAACTACTGGGCCGATCGCGACGAAAACACCACCAGTCGCTTCACCGTATGCGATTTCATCAGCCGTTTTGAATATGGTGACCTCAGGTGACCTCCGTGACCTCAAAAGGTCAACTTAACGTTTTCGCCTATTGCAGCCATTCTATAACTCAGGAACTGCTGGGCCGATCGCAACGAAAACACCACCAGTCGATTCAGCGTATGCGGTTTTATCAGCCGTTTCGAATATGGTGACCTCAGGTGACCTCGGTGACCTCAAAAGGTCAACTTAACGTTTTCGCCTATTGCAGCCATTCTACAACTCAGGAACTACTGGGCCGATCGCGACGAAAACACCACCAGTCGATTCAGCGTATGCGATTTCATCAGCCGTTTTGAATATGGTGACCTCAGGTGACCTCGGTGACCTTGGGAGGTCACATGACCGATGTGGCCTATGGCAGCCATTCTATAACTCAGGAACTACTGGGCCGATCGCGACGAAAAGACCACCAGTCGATTCAGCGTATGCGATTTCATCAGCCGTTTCGAATATGGTGACCTCAGGTGACCTCGGTGACCTTGGGAGGTCACATGACCGATGTGGCCTATGGCAGCCATTCTATAACTCAGGAAATGCTGGGCCGATCGTGACGAAAACACCACCAGTCGATTCAGCGTATGCGATTTCATCAGCCGTTTCGAATATGGTGACCTCAGGTGACCTCGGTGACCTTGGGAGGTCACATGACCGTTGTGGCCTATGGCAGCCATTCTATAACTCAGAAACTACTGGGCCGATCGCGACGAAAACACCACCAGTCGATTCAGCGTATGCGATTGCATCAGCCGTTTCGAATATAGTGACCTCAGGTGAACTTGATGACCTTGGGAGGTCACATGACCGATGTGGCCTATAGCAGCCATTCTATAACTCAGGAACTACTGGGCCGATCGCGACGAAAACACCACCAGTCGAATCAGCGTATGCGACTTCATCAGCCGTTTTGAATATGGTGACCTCAGGTGACCTCGGTGACCTCAAAAGGTCAACTTAACGTTTTCGCCTATTGCAGCCATTCTATAACTCAGGAACTACTGGGCCGATCGTGACGAAAACACCACCAGTCGATTCAGCGTATGCGATTTCACCAGCCGTTTCGAATATGGTGACCTCAGGTGACCTCAGTGACCTTGGGAGGTCACATGACCGTTGTGGCCTATGGCAGCCTCCCTCCCAAGGTCACCGAGGTCACCTGAGGTCACCACATTCGAAACGGCTGATGAAATCGCATACGCTGAATCGGCTGGTGGTGTTTTCGTCGCGATCGGCCCAGTAGTTCCTGAGTTATAGAATGGCTGCCATAGGCCACAACGGTCATGTGACCTCCCAAGGTCACCGAGGTCACCTGAGGTCACCATATTCGAAACGGCTGGTGAAATCGCATACGTTTAATCGACTGGTGGTGTTTTCGTCACGATCGGCCCAGCAGTTCCTGAGTTATAGAATGGCTGCCATAGGCCACAACGGTCATGTGACCTCCCAAGGTCACTGAGGTCACCTGAGATCACCATATTCAAAACGGCTGATGAAATCGCATACGCTGAGTCGACTGGTGGTGTTTTTGTCGCGATCGGCCCAGTAGTTCCTGAGTTATAGAATGGCTGCCTTAGGCCACAACGGTCATGTGACCTCCCAAGGTCACTGAGGTCACCTGAGGTCACCATATTCGAAAGGGCTGATGAAATCGCATACGCTGAATCGACTGGTGGTGTTTTCGTCACGATCGGCCCAGTAGTTCCTGAGTTATAGAATGGCTGCAATAGGCGAAAACGTTAAGTTGACCTTTTGAGGTCACCGAGGTCACCTGAGGTCACCATATTCGAAACGGCTGATGAAATCGCATACGGTGAATCGACTGGTGGTGTTTTCGTCGCGATCGGCCCAGTAGTTCCTGAGTTATAGAATGGCTGCCATAGGCCACATCGGTCATGTGACCTCCCAAGGTCATCGAGGTCACCTGAGGTCACCATATTCGAAAGGGCTGATGAAATCGCATACGCTGAATCGACTGGTGGTCTTTTCGTCGCGATCGGCCCAGTAGTTCCTGAGTTATAGAATGGCTGCCATAGGCCACATCGGTCATGTGACCTCCCAAGGTCACCGAGGTCACCTGAGGTCACCATATTCAAAACGGCTGATGAAATCGCATACGCTGAATCGACTGGTGCTGCTTTCGTCGCGATCGGCCCAGTAGTTCCTGAGTTATAGAATGGCTGCAATAGGCGAAAACGTTAAGTTGACCTTTTGAGGTCACCGAGGTCACCTGAGGTCACCATATTCGAAACGGCTGATGAAATCGCATACGCTGAATCGACTGGTGGTGTTTTCGTCGCGATCGGCCCAGCAGTTCCTGAGTTATAGAATGGCTGCAATAGGCGAAAACGTTAAGTTGACCTTTTGAGGTCACCGAGGTCACCTGAGGTCACCATATTCGAAACGGCTGATGAAATCGCATACGGTGAATCGACTGGTGGTGTTTTCGTCGCGATCGGCCCAGTAGTTCCTGAGTTATAGAATGGCTGCCATAGGCCACATCGGTCATGTGACCTCCCAAGGTCATCGAGGTCACCTGAGGTCACCATATTCGAAACGGCTGATGAAATTGCATACGGTGAATCGACTGGTGGTGTTTTCGTCGCGATCGGCCCAGTAGTTCCTGAGTTATAGAATGGCTGCCATAGGCCACATCGGTCATGTGACCTCCCAAGGTCACCGAGGTCACCTGAGGTCACCATATTCAAAACGGCTGATGAAATCGCATACGCTGAATCGACTGGTGGTGTTTTCGTCGCGATCGGCCCAGTAGTTTCTGAGTTATAGAATGGCTGCAATAGGCGAAAACGTTAAGTTGACCTTTTGAGGTCACCGAGGTCACCTGAGGTCACCATATTCGAAACGGCTGATGAAATCGCATACGCTGAATCGACTGGTGGTGTTTTCGTCGCGATCGGCCCAGTAGTTCCTCAGTTATAGAATGGCTGCCATAGGCCACATCGGTCATGTGACCTCCCAAGGTCACCGAGGTCACCTGAGGTCACCATATTCGAAACGGCTGATGAAATCGCATACGCTGAATCGACTGGTGGTGTTTTCGTCACGATCGGCCCAGCAGTTCCTGAGTTATAGAATGGCTGCCATAGGCCACAACGGTCATGTGACCTCCCAAGGTCACCGAGGTCACCTGAGGTCACCATATTCGAAACGGCTGATGAAATCGCATACGCTGAATCGACTGGTGGTGTTTTCGTCGCGATCGGCCCGGCAGTTCCTGAGTTATAGAATGGCTGCAATAGGCGAAAACGTTAAGTTGACCTTTTGAGGTCACGGAGGTCACCTGAGGTCACCATATTCAAAACGGCTGATGAAATCGCATACGCTGATTCGACTGGTGGTGTTTTTGTCGCGATCGGCTCAGTAGTTCCTCAGTTATAGAATGGCTGCCATAGACCACATCGGTCATGTGACCTCCCAAGGTCACCGAGGTCACCTGAGGTCACCATATTCGAAACAGCTGATGAAATTGCATACGCTGAATCGACTGGTGGTGTTTTCGTCACGATCGGCCCAGCAGTTCCTGAGTTATAGAATGGCTGCCATAGGCCACAACGGTCATGTGACCTCCCAAGGTCACCGAGGTCACCTGAGGTCACCATATTCGAAACGGCTGATGAAATCGCATACGCTGAATCGACTGGTGGTGTTTTCGTCGCGATCGGCCCAGCAGTTCCTGAGTTATAGAATGGCTGCAATAGGCGAAAACGTTAAGTTGACCTTTTGAGGTCACCGAGGTCACCTGAGGTCACCATATTCGAAACGGCTGATGAAATCGCATACGCTGATTCGACTGGTGGTGTTTTTGTCGCGATCGGCCCAGTAGTTCCTGAGTTATAGAATGGCTGCAATATGCGTCAATGCCGAGTTGACCTCTTGAGGTCACCGAGGTCACCTGGGGTCACGAGCTTCGAAACGGCTGATAAAATCGTACCCCCTGATTCGAATGGTGTTTCGTTCGTTCCGATCGGTCCAGTAGTTCCTGAGTTATAGAATGGCTGCAAGGGTGGCGGTCGAATAGTGTTGTCCTGTTAAGGTGGGAGGGTCCCTTTAAATGCCGATGTTAGGAAATCAGCTGATGGAATCTTTCTAAGACAAATATGGCGCAGATAAAATATGTCTCTTCACTGTTTTGAGGGATCACAAGTACTCGCAAAAGCGTTTGTTTCCATAGTAATCCGCTTACTAGCGAATCAAAAGCATCAAATTATTCTGCTAACGTGTTCCGACTTACCTCAAGAACACAGTACAGATGAAGTTGCTAAGAATCTTAGAATTTGCTGTGTCTAGATAAATAATTTTGAACGTGATATAACTTTGGCATAAGTTATAAGGCATAGGTAAGCGGAGGCCGTAAGGTGAAGAAGCCAACTTACTTAAATTACTAAGAACTGCTCCCTTAATTTGCAAAGTGGTTTGGTTGGCCCAAGTTCTTCAGCGAGGCATGCTTGCTAAAACAGTTTTTTAATCTGATTCAAGATGCCTACCACTTTATTCTTCAAACCGTCTTGTACCGGAGTTGCGTTTGGTTAAGTTAGTTGAAAATATTGCTGGTGAAAAAACCACAGTCCACACTATATGTGTTACCATGATAGGGCATCATATTCCAACATGAAGCATCACCGTTAGGTTCTCTAGGCTCGTTTTCAGTTTTCACTGTGTTAGCACGCTCAGAACCAATAATGTTAATAGGTTTTCTAAAAGTCGAATTTTGGCAGTTTTTTTCTGTCATGTGAATAATTATTAAGCTTATCTTTGATAAAGATTCCTGCTCATGCTGGATATTGTTTGTTTTCATTTCTATCACAATTTATCAATTTCAATTTGATTAATCATGAAACCTGCTAATTTTGGCATTAGTAGAGCAGATGTCACATGATGGTTTTCCAACCAAGGAGAGGTGCTGCAGGTTTGCAAGTTGTATGTTTGTAGGTTGTAGGTTTGTAGGTTGTAGGTTAGGGCAGGTTAGGTTTGGTTTGGTTTGTTTTGGCTTGGTTAGAAAGAAGCGTCTCTATGCATAGTGCCTCTCCTTGGTGGGAAAACCTTCATGTGATGTCTACTGTACTAATACCCTAATTCTATGTATTTTTCATGTTATTTCATTTTCCAATTAGGCTTGCTTAGTCTTAGTTTTGTATAGTATAGTCTTGGCGGTGCACACAGTTCAAATTTTGTACCGATGGGCGATGTAGGGTGCACAGTACACACATTCAAAATTAATACCAGTAAAACGCCTTTTGGGCGAAGAACGAGCGAGCGAGATAGTGAGCCCTGCACGTACGCAAGGGCGAGAGGGTACTTCCAACGGGCTTGTGCAAATCACCCATCTAACCGGTCGCTAGTGGTGTGCCAAATTTGAACGCAATCGGCCCAGCCGTTCCTGAGATCTGGAAGCGGCATTCTGCACGTGCGCACGTGCAGTAGCACCCTAACCGCAACACATGGGAATGCATTGCCTGGTGGGTGCCTACCTGTATGCCAAGTTTCAGCGAAATCGCCCCAGTAATTACCGAGTTATTGAAATGGGAACAAATTTGGCACCTCTTCTTTTTGCATTTTGCACGTGCAGTGGGGGTCCCTCACATAGATCAAGCATATCCGACCTTTGGTAGAAGGGATGCATCTACCCTATAAAAATTACCGCAAGACAATCGCCCAAGCGGCTGCTGAGATATAGGCCTCTCAAAATCACTACTTTTGCAAAACAGCTTGAACACCCTTGACTTTTCACGTGGCACGTGCCACGACGGTCACTGAGATGTATCAAAAGTAGTCAATTACGGGGTAGAAGGAATGGGGCTACCCAGCAAAAAAGACCGCAGGCCAATCGGTCCAGCGGTTGCTGAGATGTAAGCCTCTCAAAAGCGTTACAGGCCGGGCCGGGCCGCTCATACTGAGATTTTTCCGTTATATTGAAAAGACTCACTTCGCTCGCTGCGCTCGCTCGCTCGTAACTATGGGGTACATGGTAGCAAGGTGTGATTTAATTCCATGAACCTCTTGATTCTCTGGGTAGGTCTCAATTTTTAGTTATGCAAATTGGCAATCCAACACCCATATATTTTTTTGGCTGACTCAACTTTGCAGGCTATGGTTATCTCTCTAAGCAGCTCTATTATGATTACTGGAGATGGATCACAGCCCAGGGTATCAATTAGGACAATACTTTTGCAATCCCTACAAATGTCTTCAAACCTGATTGATGGAAATAGTGTGCATGCTCCATCTGAACTTCAACCAATTATTATTGTAATCCCACTCATGGTTGAAAGTTTTCTGGGCCCAGTCAGCCACATATACACATACAAATCCCAGTACAAAACCTGTGCACTATCATAGAGTGTAATGGAATTTCAATCATTGTGTTGTTACTTGCTAGTCACTTAAACTACAGAGCATATACAGATGGTAGAGAATAAGCCCTGCCCAGCACCTAATCACTATGCATCAAGAAAGAATCAGCACACCAGTGGTGTCAGTGTTCTGAGCAAAATGCTGGTGCAAACTGACTGTGTAGGTCAGGTTTTTACATCAGATTGAGAATGACTGACTACATTGTGCTTAGGTTGTCATGTTCACCTGAACTTTTGTTTAGTGGAAGATACAGGGAGTCAATAGTACATCAATACAGCGTCACAAACATCCTGTTAATAAATCCTGTTTTTTTCCACAGATAACCTGTTGTGATGGCGCGAAACGCGGAAAAGGCGATGACAACGCTGGCGCGCTGGCGGCAGGCGCACTCCGAGGACGCGCCGGAGCGCGCGCGGCGTCCGTACCTGGCCTCCGAGTGTGACCAGCTGCCCGACGCCGAGCGGTGGCGCAATCAGATCGTGCGCGAGGTGGCGCGCAAGGTGGCGCAGATCCAGAACGCCGGACTCGGCGAGTTCCGTATCCGCGACCTCAACGACGAGATTAACAAGCTGCTGCGCGAAAAGAGCCACTGGGAGGCGCGCATCAAGGAGCTGGGCGGGCCCGACTATGCGCGAACCGGGCCCAAAATGCTGGACCGCGAGGGACGTGAGGTGCCCGGAAACCGCGGTTATCGTTACTTCGGTGCCGCGCGTGATCTGCCCGGAGTTCGCGAGCTGTTCGAGCAGGAGCCGCCGCCGCCGCCGCGCAAGACGCGCGCAGAGCTGATGAAGGACATCGACGCCGACTACTACGGCTTTCTGGACGACGAGGACGGCGTGCTGGTGCCGCGCGAGCGCCAGCAGGAGCGGCTGGCCGTGGCCGCCTGGCTGGCCGACTGGCGCCGCCGCAAGGAGGCCGGCCTGCTGGGCGACGACGCCGACCCGGCCGAGGCCGAGGAGGCGCCGCTGGACGCCGACGACAGTGACGAGGAGGCGGAGCGGCACGCCTCGGCGCCGGCCCGGTTCGTGGCGCACGTGCCGGTGCCCTCCCAGCGCGAGGTAGAGGCGGCGCTGGTGGAGCGCAAGAAGCGCGAGCTGCTGGCGCGCTACGCCTCGGACGCGCTCAGAGAGGAGGAGGACCACGCGCGACAGCTGGCCGGGGCGGCGCCGGCCTCTCCCAAGGTCGAGAAGACTGAGACGGAGACTGAGGCTGAGGCGTAGCAGCCGGCCGGTGGGTGAGCCATCCTGGGTGGTCCGTGTTTGGTAGGGAGGGAGGGAGGGAGGAAGATGGGTGGGTGGGTGATATAGGGGGAAGTGTCCGTTTTTTATGCTGTGTTGTATGGAGAAATGGAGGATCGGCAAGCTGAAGCACGAGGAAGTGCAGCTTGCAGTCCGTTGAACTGCTCATTGTTTCCATGATCACTGAACGCATTGTTGTCGGTGGTGAAAGACTCCGATGGGCGAACCTGGCGGATATGGGGGAAGTGTCCGTTTTCATCATCGTGTCATGACTTGTATGAATTTTGCATCTAGTTGTTAATAGACGCTCATCTTCAGAAATGTCTGTGAAACGTATACCTCTGGTAAAAATTTTTATCCGATACAGTCTGCCGTGAAAAGGTTTTCACACCATTCTCAATAAATAGGTATTTCGGCACGCGGACGTATGTGTTTCACGTGCATATATTTCCTACGATTCCGTTAGCAACGGGGTCGCAACTTATTAGGATGGAAACACGAAAGAATGAGATATTGCTCAGGAAGAATGTTTGATGTTTGGTATGTTCCAACAATTAGTGTGGCCTCACGCTGATACGTTGCTCTCGATCGCTTTTCTTGCGGATACTTCCTTGGCTAAGTGTCATCACTCCTCTATCGGTAAACTGACTCAGTTGCTGTCTGACGGAATTTGTTTCTTTATCTGCTGGATAATGGATTTTATACAACAGTGGACACAATATCAGGCACGTTGAGCCGCATTTTTCATTGAATTTGACGCCGGACGACTCACAAATAAGAGCAAGTCGCTCACTGTGACGCCATCCGATCCAACTCTTGTGTGTGTCTCAGAAGTGTGTGGTGAGATAAAGACCGTGCAGTTGAGCGGAACTATGACAGTATTCAAGACGAACGCAAACCACAATCAAAACATTTTCACCAACCATTTCCGGCTGCTAGACCTATTCGATATAGTGTGCTCTAGGTCCGTTTTCATCACTAAACTAGTAGACCATGCCTTTATGGCGCTTGAATGCTCTTAAACACTGCATTGTGTTATTGTAAGCATTTAAGATGCACCGAGGGATGGAGCTGGTCTACGCCCTAGTCTGGATGTCGAAGAAGGTCAATGTACTCTATCGGCATGGCCCCACGCTGTGTCCCTGAAGCTCGCTGGGCGCTGCTCTGATGCCGGAGCGGGCGGCCTCGTCCGGCGGGAGGCGGCGCCGCTCCAGTGTGACCGGCAGCGACCCGCTCTGTCCCATCTGTCTGGAGGGCCGCCACCACGCCGTGGAGACCAGCTGCGGCCACCTGTTCTGCGCCAAGTGTCTCCTCGTGCACCGCGAGCAGAGCGAGCCGCTGAGACCCATGCTCTGCCCCCTCTGTCGGCAACAGGTGAGTGGAGAGGTGAACAGAGAACGAGTGCGCGGGCAAACAGCGTTGTGCTTGACGGCAACTCCCTATGAGTTTAAGCGATAAAACAAACGTCTCACAAAGTTCTTATGCACGTGACAAGAAAAATGACTATTGCCGCCATAGTCTCGCAGTCTGTGTATTCGAGTGGCACTTTTCACACACAGACACCTCACCCGGACAGGTGACCCTGCTGTTCCTCTGCTACACTGGTACAGAACTGGCCTGCACAGAACCGGAGGCGGTCTCGGTGCGGTCGGCGACCCGGCGCGCCGTGACAGAGTATAACCGGCGCTTCTCCGGCCTGCCGCGACCGGTGAGTGACTCCAATTCACACCGGACCAGGCTCGAATAGACGGTCACGTCCCCGGCCGGTGCAGGGCGGTGACAGGTGCCTGTCGTAAAGGGGTGTTTGTTGTCTGTTGACTGTTGACCATGTTGACTCTCCAAAGTTGCACCTGCAATAGCCCGGCACACCCTAGCAAATAAGGCAATAGCCAATGCAAGACGGTTAGATACCCATTGCCCAAGCCACAACAGCCGTTGCCCGTGAATCCATAGCCGAGAAATCGAACAGTGCACTGGCCAGGGGGCTGTCGCGCGGCACGGTAATGGTGTAGTTACGTTGCCTGGTGCGCCACCTGTCTGTCAGGAGTATGAACGCACCCGGTCTTGCAGTAGGTGGCTCTCGTGTACCTGTGACTCATTTGAGATGATAGGTTCTGCCAGCTCCGAGCTCGTGCACATTTAACGCATTATGCGGTCTTGCAGTATAATGCTTTCAAGGTAAAGTCCACAGCAGAAGTAATGTGCGGTTTCAGTCATGGGTATGTCCTGCTTCTGAAGCTTAGGAGCGGTTAGCCAGATTACAATGAATGTAGGTTGTCACCCTTGCAAGTTGCAGCTGCAACGCAGCAACTTTATCTTTTGACGTCTTCTTATCGATCACTCCGCATTAAAATATCGCCAGTCAAAGCCATCCGTTGAGATTGGTAAAACCGCACTTACTTTAGCGGTGGGCTGTTTGTAGTGTACCTTTGCTGAAATCAAAGCTAAAGGCGTTATCCCGCGAGTTGCTGGGGGGGGGGGGGGCGTTAAACGCCCCCACTTTTGTCGCCGGGCCATAGCATAAAAACGGCGCGCCGCAGGCGCGCCAAATTTTGGGTACCTGTAGGGAATTGAATGAAGTTTATTGTGACAAAGTTTCAAAAAAATCGGTCGGAAAATTTTTGAGATATCGAGGTTTTAGTGACGTCATGATTTCTGAGTTTTCGACCGAAAACGGCATATGTTCAAAAAATCATATAAAATAACAGAATAGACATACAGACATGCCGTAAACGCCATTAGACTGCCAATACCATGAACAATCAAATGGCTATCTTCGATTATTGATTATCGTTTCGCATTTTCCAAAATCTTGAACTGAATCTTGGCAATTTCACGTGACTACTTCACGACCATGACACATGCATTTCTTAAATTGAACTTTTTGAGCCAAACACGTAGGTACACATATGATAAAATGAATGTCACCATTGTGTTCTGCGCCCCAAATTACCCATAAAACATGTGTCACAGGCTGCGAATATCAGTTTTGTTTTTCGGGGATATGTGCCTACCCGGTTGACCTGACCTTGACCCTGACCTATGCTTGACTGACCCCTACATGGAGCTGACACTCTTGTAGGCCTTATATGATGGATTGTGCACCGTTTTGACAGAGTTTATGACGAGAGGCGCCCATTGCGAAGTCCTGAAGTCAATGCTACTGAAAGCCCGATTTCAGGTGTTTGACCTGACCTTGACCCGACCTGTGACCTCAAAATTCAACTTTAAAGTAGTCATCGGAAGCGTCTCGTCGCGTTCTTTCGTTTGCCGCCTCGTGCGTTTCGCTGCGCCTATTGGTTCTCAAGTTATCGGCTGGGAGCGTTTAACGCCCCCCCCCCCCCCCCCAGCAAACGGTGGGTGGCGAAATACCCCAGCAACTGCCGGGTTATAGATGTTTACGCTAAATATTGATTTTTGTTACATAGATCTTACGGTGAACTTATAAAACGTTCTCCAAAGCGTCTAGCAGCTACATTCGTCTTGGCTTGTATATCCAGCACTTTCATCTCCCCGGCTATAAGGCTTGCCGTTCATATTAGTTCACGACGGCTCTCGCAATGAACGCCTAATAGATGCTGTGCCGCACGACACGTACTTACATTTCAGCCCATACCTAGATGGCTCTCGCGTAGAGCGCCTGGTAGATGCTGTGCCGCACGACACGTGCTTACATTTCAGCCCATAGATGGCTCTTGCGTAGAGCGCCTGGTAGATGCTGTGCCGCACGGCACGTGCTTACATTTCAGCCCATAGATGGCTCTCGCGTAGAGCACCTGGTAGATGCTGTGCCGCACGGCACGTGTTTCCATTTATTCCCATAGATGGCTCTCGCGTAGAGCGCCTGGTAGATGCTGTGCCGCACGGCACGTGTTTCCATTTTTCCCGTAGATGGCTTTCGCGTAGAGCGCCTTACAGATGCCGTGCCGCAATGCACACTACCCATTCCGTACGTTAGATGGCTTTAGCCGTAATTTTTCAGACCGGGTGGTGCATGCTCTCAGTGAGCTGTGCCGTAATGATTACAGCTATGTTTGAATGAAGGGATTCACAATTCCAAGCAAGCGAATGGCGCCCCGCCGACCTGTTTCATGACCCCATGGATGCAAATCTGTCGACGATCGGTGAGCTTTCGTACGTAATCGGTGTCGATGCCAAACTCGGGATTCAGCCCAGAAATGGAGTAGGGACTGTGTCATGCTAGGAATAGTACTGTCGCACAGACACAGTTCACCGAGAACGGTGATAACTATGTAGTCTCGTTGTCTCAATGAAAAGCAATTGTCCTAGCACAGCGCTCACTGTAGGTAAGGACAGTGGATTGTATGTACAATTTTGAGCGTCGGATAGTAATGAACCTGGAAGTGAATAAGGACATACAGGGTGCTCAATAAAGAATGGCGTAAAGTAAGCCCCTTCGGGACACACAATACATCTTTTAACCCTCGCCGGCCGAGGTGGAGGGGGCGGGTGCCGCCCCCAGGTTTTTTTTTGCGATAGCTCCAAACACGCCGGCGATAGAGGGCTGCATAGATATAAAAACTTGGCATACCTGACCTCTGATTCAAGCCGGATCTTTTGACACCAATCGAATTTTCGGGTCAGGTCAGGTCACTGACCTATGACGTCATAAGTGAACCTCTGCACGGTCTTCAGATGTCGCAACTTCGCAACGCCCTCACTGCCAGAGGAGCTTTCACAGGGAAAGGAAACTTGCAGGACCTAGTATCAGTCTCACAACTTACTTGTATATCTCGGATTTTTCTTAAAGGTCATAAGAGGTCAGGTCATTTTCGTGACCTCACTATTATAAGTCAATGGGGAAAAATGAAAACTGCTGTTCTGGTGCCGGGAACGATCTCCAACTATCTCAAGCACACAGAATTGTGATTTCATGCACTCCTTGCAAGGTTCGATGCGTTACTTTTGCAATGTTGACCTTGCGTGACGTCTTTAATGACGTCACTAGGGTCATATTAGTTTTTCGTCAATAACTCCCGAGCAAATTGAGCAAGCGAGTCGGGAAAGCCACTAATGAACTCAGGAAGACCTGCCGAATCGAATGATATGCGACATGACCTCCTTCGACCAATTTCGTGACCTGGGGGCCTGACCTGACCGTGACCCGAGGTCAACACCCTAAGTTGACCTCACCCAAACAAAAAGTATAGCATTCGACGCGCCTGAGCGAGGCAAACACGATGCTGCCAAAATCGCTCTGCGGCCGTTTTTTGCGAAGTTATTTACCAAAAACGGAACCGTACCTTGGGGCACTTGACCTGACGTCAGAGGTCACCGATTGACCTAGGACCTTAAAATCAGGTATCGATCTCTGCGTCTCGTAACGGCGCGCACGTTCCTTTTTCCTCGACGCGCTAGCTCCACCAGGGGCGAAACGGCGAGGGGGGGGGGTCGTACCCGCCCCCCGTCCCTCGGCCGGCGCGTATGTAGAAAACCAATAGGTCCGGCAAGGGCTGACCCTCTCTTGCATTGGTGTTTTACCAGCTGCGAAGGTATAGCAGGAGGTCCGTTGGGCCCCACTTGCCGTTTGGCCCCTCTAGAACAAAGACGAGCGCATTGCCCGTGACGAGATGAAGCCGATGCTACCCAATTTTAATGTCCTAGGTCATTGGTTGACCTTCCAGGTCAGGTCAATGACCCATAATTCGGGAAAATTGGGACCTGTTAGCAGTTAGAACGTCGTAAAGTGTGGCTGCTATTCGTATTAGGTTCGGCGGCGCGGAAACAGCGGCGCTCCGTTTTTGGGACACCTGTTTATGCCTCTTTTCCGCACATGTTGTAAAAACTTCAGACATAGGTCTCTTAAGAGGTCTCCAGGGCACGTTAAGTGACCTCACCTCAGAAAAGGTTAGAATCTTCGTCATAGCTACATTTGAACGATCTGGAGATCTACACTAGAGACTGAACGATCGCCTTGAACCTTTCGGCGATTGATAAAAGTAACAGTTTGTATAAAATGTAAATTTCGGAATTTTGATATCGGTGACCTAAGGTCAGGTCAACTTTACGACCTCTCCATTAGGTATAAGTCAATGACTCTTTTGGACGAACGTCATTCCAAACACTCTCAAAGCCGTAATCGCCACGCCATATGTGGAAGGCTTTTGATGTTAATACATACATACATACATACATGCATACAAACATCGGGTTTCAGGTAAACTTGACAAGCTGGACCTAAAAAATGGCACCCTTGTTCTCTCCTGATGTCCCTGAGGTCATATTATGTCATGAAAGGTCCCCAGCAGTTTTTTTACCATAACATTTGATAGAGACATGCTAGAGCGATGAACACACCTCAGATCCGTTCAGCTTGACGATACGGATCGACTGATATGCAATATGACATTTTCAGGTCAGTTCATGACCTTGACCTGAGGTCATTTTTTTTTAATTGCCTGTCAAGGTCAACTAACAGTTTGTTCGACGCGTCTCGACGAGAGGAGCACGATGCCAGCAAAATAAATGTCACTTTCTTGAGTCAAAAGTTATTGCAAAACGTACCTATTACCATGAAACTGTTATTTTTGGAGCTTTTGCCCTCTGGAGGCTAAACCGTTGGCTTGAGGTCAAATCTGGGGACATGTTTGCGAAAGAATGTTGAAAGAGCTATCGAATGCGTTTTTGCGGCGCTGTAGCTCTATTGGTTCCCAAGTTATGTGCCGAGCTTTCGAAAATTGTTGGAAT